TGGCACTGTGCACTGTATACTTATTCATTTATAAAAACACAATCAGTTCATTAAAGGAGCTGACCAGCACACTGCACCAGCACCTCGCTGGGAAACACACGCAGTCCTTGGAGATTGAAGCTCCCTCTCCAGAACATTCCCAACAGAAAAGAGCCTTTCTGCTACCCATCATATTTTGGAGCAACAAGAAGACCCACTACACAGGTGAACATGGCAGAGGTCTAAATCACAGTTTCTCACACTCTATTTTACTTCTACTCAACAGCATACTGCTCAATGAAAAGAATCAGGTTTTGGAGTATTTTTTTTACCTCCAAAAGCAATTTTCCCAGGGATTCTTTTAGATGTACAAGATCCTTCCACTCACTACAATTAAAAGTTTAATAGGTCTGTAACTTGGAGGCTTTTGTCATTTTCACCCTGTATGATGCAAAATAAGAATAAACTCACACCTTCTCCTTATAAAGCTTAACTTCTTCACCATATGGAAGGAGAGGGCAGGTAGAAAACAAGAAAAGGAAAAAGGCATTCAGAAGCTATTCTTAATACTTGATTCTTAAACCAAGTAAGAAAGGTGATTTGTGATCATTAAGTGGCAATATCTTATGTTCTCCACTTCTCTTTTTAGTTAAGTTACTTAAAATTAATATGTACATATATATTTTTGTCTGCCTTTTGTTTAAGAATCTAATGACAACTTCATCTTATGGAGTTCAGTTACAAAACAGAACACTGTGTGGCTTGCTTCATAAGTGACTGACTTATTAGAGCTCACCTTGAAAATAAAGCGCCATCTAAATGGCAAAAAAAAACCACAACATATGAATACCATCATTTATCATGACATGCAGAAGAAAAAAACCATCCAGCAGAAGGGGGCAGTAACATTCAGTGAACCCTTCTGCATTTCCTGCCTATCTGTACTGGGGAGGGAGACGCTGGACAGCAGCCTCAGTGAAAGGGACCTGGGGGGATCTTGCTGGACAGCAAATTGAACATGAATCAACATTGTGTCCAGGCAGCCAGGAAGGCCAACTGTATCCTGGAGTGCATCAAGCACTCCAGTGTTGCGAACTGGCCAAGGGAAGTGACTGTCCCACCCTGTACTACACCAGTGCAGCTTTGCATACTGCATGCAGCTGTGGGCACAGTACAAAAACGAATAGAACTGTTTGAGTGTGTTCAAAGGAGGGCTACAAAGATGATAAAGGGTCTGGAGGGGAAGAGATGTGAGGTGTGGCTGAGGTCCCATGGTTTGTTCAACCCAGAGAGGCTGAGAGGAGGCCCCATGTTGGCCTATGGCTTTCCCATGATGGGGAGCAGAAGAGTTGCTCTGAACCCTGCTCTCTGTGACAGCGGCAGGGCCTGGAGGAACGGCACGGAGCAGTCGGGAAGGGGCTGGTGGGGGTTAGGGAAAGATTCTGTACCAGTGGTTGGGCACTTAGCAGGCTGCCCAGGGCAGTGGGCACAGCCCAAAGCTGTGGAGCTCAGGGGGCATTAAAACAACATTCTCACACATAGGGTTCAGATTTTGGGTAGTCCTGTGTGGAGCCAGAGTTGGATTCAGTTATGTCTATGGGTCCCTTCCAATCTAGAACATTCTGTGATTCAGGCGCTTACTGCTTCTTTTAGCAGAGCTGTCATAAACAGGCCTGGTGGGGTTCTGCCTACTAATATGAGGGAAAATCTATGTTACTTTATATCCACTATGTATATAGAACTATAACTTAATTTCCATGTGTTGTTAACAAACATCAGAGTGGCAGAGGCAAATTTAACTTCAGGGATACAAACATTCCCAATGATAAATGAAGCTTTTCCTAATTTTTCCCTCCAAGCCATGCCTACAGATAAAATGAACGAATGAAGACAGTCAGGAAAAGAAAAACTGCATTTGTTAAAATAAATAAATAAATAAATAAATAAATAAATAAAAATTGTGGCTTTGAAAGCTATGCTTAAAAACTGTACACACCTTGCAAGGAAGATGAATGATGGACAAACATTCCCACTTTGCAAAACCTTCATCTCACCACCACAAACATGCCACGAACATCTCAGAAACATCATCATTCTTATCAGAACAACACAATTTGCCTAGGTTTTCAGGGTTTCGGGCAAAGACAAGCCTATCTGTGGGACTGCTTTTTCTCAGAGACCTGGGTGCACGTGGTGGGTAATGCAGAAGGATAAGGATGTCCATTGTGTCCCTCAGGGGCATTACTGAGTCATGACAGATTGCTGAATTTTCTCCTAGTGCTTTCCTGAAACTCAGCCATCAGGAGGTAGCAAACTGGCCTCAGTAAAGAACTGTGAATTCAGCAGATGCTCTAGACAGAACTACCTGGAACAGAAACAGGACATAAGGGAAACATAGGGGAATCACCAGCTTCAGAAATTTCAGTCAAAGTGAAACTGCTCAGGTAGAGAAAGCTACTCCATTCCACACACTGCTTCATCTAGAGCAAAGGATATCTGAAATGATCACTGGAGAAGTAAAAATAATGGTGATTTTTTTCATGGACACTTTATATGTTAAATAAATAATGAATTTGTTAGTTGATGCAAAGACTCTACACCTGGTGCTGAATGCTGCCACAGCAAAAATAATTTATTTATAAGAAAAAATCTCATTCAAGAATATGATCAGATCTTGATTACAAGCAATTTCAAAACAACACATGATGGTGAAGGGCACCCTTTGGAAAAACAACCATACCCCATCTCCCTGATTTTCTATCACCCTGCTTCAACCCGCCAGAGCAGGCGCTGGATGCCTCCAGCTCCAGCACAGCCATTCACTGCACAAATGCCCCTTCCCAGCATAAAGCAGACTGAAGAGAGCTCACATTTCACCACACACCCTGCCTGGAGCCAGTACAGCCGTGGTGCCAGCAGCAGCATCCCCTCACTCTCAGCAGAAAAGTTCTGCTCTGTTGCTCAAGGTGTATAGCATTTGTTTTTGTAATGAAAAACCTTTACTAATACATTTCCCATATCTACATGGTACCCAAGCAAGGTTTAATCGTTTCAAAGATAATTCTCTACTATGCAACTCATTCAGTTTTCCCTTTATCACTGTTGCTTTTACATCTCAGAAATACTGTCTGCATTTACCAATTCCCACACAATTAAAAAGTAACACCTCGCTTGTCTGATATTTTCAGTCTTAGTGCCCAACAACATCCATCACCACTTTGAGAGATGAAATAGGAAAGGTGTGAAATGAAAATGCAAAACCTGTAAGGCTAGACCTCGATCCATGGTGCTGTGTGTAGGGGATGTTCCTCTCTATATCCTGTCCCGTGGAACACTACACTCTACAGCTTCCTGAAGGGAGGTTGTGATGAGGAGGGGTTTGGCCTCTTCTCTCAGGCAACAGGACCCGAGGAAATGGCCACAAGTCATACCAGAGAAGGTTTAGGTTGGACATGAGGAAAAACTTTTTCTCTCAGAGAATAGTCAGGCACTGGAATGGCTGCCCAGGGAGGTGGTTGAGTTGCTGTCCCTGGCAGTGTTCAAGAGGCGTCTGGATGAGGAGCTGTGAGATGTGGTTTAGTGTTTGTAGTAGCAGTAGTGATGGGAGGATGGTTGGACCTGATGACCTCGTAGTCCTTTCCAACCTTGTGATTCTATGACTCTAACACCACTTGTGTTTCACGACCAGACGTTGAGCTCATAACGCAGGAGCCAGGCTCCCTGTTTCACACCAGGGAGGGCTGAACAACCTGCAGAAAGGCACAGCAAGCAGCAGTGCGTGCAGGGACAGGCTCCTGACGCCATGTTGTGCTCCATATGTGCGGCTGAGGCTAGCAGTGCTTTGTAGGGACACTGACACCTACACATATCTCTGTGTGTGTGAGCATAAAATCAGAAGATGTGTCTTGTGCTATTGCAGAAGAATCATGCAATGACAGACCTTTGTGCACCGCTCTCTGAAAGGTCTTGATGACCAATTACCAATGCGCACAAATTATTCACTCAGCCAAAGCATGTTTCTTCAGAGCCAAAAATAAGATTTTGTTTAAATCGGACTAAATCCCTTTTCAAGGCAACGATTTGCAACGTAAACACCATCACCTCAAATCTCGAGGCGTCGTTACAGACCCGACCGTGGCTCGGAGCGGGCAGGCGGCGAGGGAGGCACCGCGCGGCCCTTACACAACTCGGCAACGTCCTGTTGTTTCGTAACCTTCCGTGCGCAACGAAGAGTAAAAATAGAGGTAACGTGTGCCGGTTAGAAATCTGTGACAAAAAGCATCCCGTCTGCGTGCTGCTGGGAGGAAATGAGCTAAGATTTTGTTTACAACGTGACTGTGCTCAGAGCAACGGGGGCACTTTAAGGCAAAGGCAAGAAAAAAAGCAGCGCTACTCGCATGGAGGTAAGACTCCTAATAACGGGATTGGCAAATGTGCAAAAGTTAAACCAAGTATGCCCCAAACACCCGTCTCACCCCGCAGCATCCGTCTGCGGCACCACGCTGTGCGACGGGCCCTGCTCCGCGCGTGAGGAAACGCGCTTCACTAAATGAAACTGCCGAGATGACCTCACTAAAAGCGAATGAGCCACGATCCAACCAAGGCTGGGTCAGCGGGGGGTCAGCAGCGTCCGGCGGAAGGAGCCCGGCGCACACGATGCCGCGGGCTGCCCGCTCCGCGCGCCCACTGCGCTCAGTGGCGCTCAGTGGCACCCCGCGGCTGCCCCGCTACGCTGCACGGTGCCTCGCGGTGCTGCGCTCCCCCGCCCCAAGCCCGGCGCTCTTCCTCAGCGCCCCCTCACGTACCACGCAGCACCCGGACCGCGGCAGACCGGACCGAGAGGAACGAGGCACGGCCCGCGCCCGGGGGCGGCCCACAGCAGGTGAGAGCTGGGGGTGGAGCGGGGCGGAGCAAGGCACGCGAAATCCCCCACCCCTTTCGTTAGTTTCCGGGCCGGGGGGGGGGGTGCGGGGGAGGTGACTCACGGCGGGATGTATAAATGAGGGTGAGTACCTAGCTGCAGTACGATCTGTGCGATTTCGAGCGTCCTTGGGATTTCAGCAGCTGCGAGGAAAGCGTAAAGAAGCCCGCCGGGATATGCTCCTGCCTTGTGCGCTGCTGGCTGCTCTCCTGGCTGCTGGCCACGCAGGTGAGTGTGGGGTGTGGTGGGCGTCTGGCCCCGACGGGTTCCGGCTCTGCATCCCGGTGCTGCGCGGTGCCGCACGGCCACGGTGCGGGGAGCTCTCGGATGGGCGGCGGCGGGCCAGGCCGCGGTGATGCTCGCGGCCGGAGCGTAGGACTTCTGTTTTACGTGCTTCGTGACTCTGAAGTTAGCGTGGCAGGAGGGCTGTCGGACCCCCCGCTAAGCCAGCGTTCGGAACTGGTTCGTCGCAGCCCGCAAGCAGTGCGCTTCCATACTTGTGTCACTGATGTTGCCGGGAGATGCCCGAAATCTCGTGCGAGTGAAACTCGTTCTGCTGCCCGCCCTGCGGTGCTGATCCAGTAGAGAAGGCGCTCTTTTAACTGCGGCGTTTGATTTCATTCCAGCCAACCCTTGCTGCTCCCTCCCGTGTCAGAACAGAGGTGTGTGTATGACAACAGGATTTGATCGGTATGAATGCGACTGCACGAGGACAGGCTATTATGGGGAAAACTGTACAACACGTAAGTACCTCTGATCTCTGTGCGGAAATGGAGTCTGAGAACTCAATTACAGAATTGCAGGTTATTCTGAATAGCAACTTACAGTCTTTCCATCTTTGCTCACAGCGGAATTCTTCACATGGCTGAGACTAACGTTGAAACCTACACCAAATACTGTCCACTACATTCTCACCCACTTCAAAGGAGTCTGGAACATCATCAACAATGTTTCCTTCTTACGAGATATTATCATGAGATACGTGTTGACGTGTAAGTATACATTCACTCTTCCAGTACTCCTGACAGGAGTTATATGTTGGGCTCCAAGTACTTTATTTCATTAGTTCATTGATAAAATAGCAAGAGGAAAATGTGTTATGGTAAAAACCCTTTAAAGAAAACTTAAGATCTATAAGCATATTCACGCTTGGTGTGAAATAGGCTTTCAGACATGGTTATTTTTTTTTTTTTTTTCCTCAAATAAAATCTCAAATTTTGCTAACACAACCTGAACCATTTGTTATAAATTTAGTAGCTGGATCCAACTGGTAAACTGGGATCAGTTCCTATTATCTATTAGCCACAAGTTACTGGAGTCAAATGCAATTATATGTGTGGAATTTATGAATGCAACCACTGCCAAAAATACATGGAAACAACGTAGCACTGTGACTTCTTTTATTTGGCATATATCAAAGTGGAGCCTAAGAAGTACTTTTTTTTTTTTTTTTTTTTTTTTCCTCTTCCAGCAAGATCACACTTGATTGACAGCCCACCAACATACAACAGTGACTATAATTACAAATCCTGGGAAGCTTATTCCAATCTTTCCTATTACACAAGAAGCCTTCCACCAGTAGGACATGACTGTCCAACACCGATGGGTGTTAAAGGTAAGGAATAAGGATGCACCGTGTTCATTTCTAGGAATGTCATTTATCTTGTTGTCCTAGAAAACACCAACAGATCTGCTTGTCTGCAACCATCCTAATGCACTGTTGACTTTGAGAGTGGCAATGAATGAGTTATATTGTGTAATGACCTAAAAGATAACCATTCTGGCAATCATTATTGAACTGTGTTCTAAAACCAGGAATTAGAAAGCTTTAATAAATTCAAAAAAATAAGCATGGAAAACCTATGACTACAACCAACAAAAAGGAGATAGTTCCCCTTATTAGTAAGCTGCTGTCCTTTGTAAAAGAGCTGAAAATGGGAGACCTGTTTGGTTGTTAGGAGCAAAAATAAGTATGAAGCATAATTGTTGTGAATATCTTGCTATAAGGAAACTTTTCTTCTAGGTAAGAAGGAGCTCCCAGATTCAAAGCTGATTGTGGAGAAATTCTTGCTGCGGAGAAAATTTATTCCTGACCCACAAGGCACAAATGTGATGTTCACATTCTTTGCCCAGCACTTCACTCATCAGTTCTTTAAAACAGACCATAAGAAAGGACCTGGCTTCACTAAAGCTTATGGCCATGGGGTAAGATCATATCTTTGGAACTTGAATGCGGCACTAAGCTCTTAGGAGCTACCAAGCAGTTAGAATACGCAAACACTAGTGACTGTACTGTGCAACACAGCAACAAACTGTTGGCTTTACCCCTTACGTGGCTTATCTTTAGGCAAAATTCCAGCTACTCAGTAGCATCTCTTAGGTCAGAACTGTTTGTGCCAAGCACATAGTTCTGCTTAAGATCTCTGTACAGTGAGGACTGTGAATTCTTCAAAGAATCTGCTTTTACCTAAAGTGTGCTAGATGTAATGAGTGTTTTTCCAACTACTCTGGACTCTTTCCATCAGTTGCAGAGATGCTTTATACAGTATTTTATTTTGTGCTGCTAATTAGACAGATTTAAAAGAACTTCAAAAGCAAATTTGGATTTCAAAATATTTATCTATGAGAAAAATGGTTTGGGGACGAAGAAATTCTCAATATAAATATAGTTTGCGTGTCTAAAGCAGAAATCTGTAACATCTTTGTGTATATATAAAGAGCTGTCTGCTTAATAAAATGCCATTGACACTCTAAACAGAGTCCTCTTAAATTGCCAGTGTGATTTAAAAACTTAATGCAGAGATTGCTGCAGTTGCCAGGAAATAATTTGGCTTCATCTTAAATATCAGTGTGTGATACTTATAAGGTAACAGTACTGTAATCAAAAGGTAAACATCTGTGGATGCCAGATCATCTATTAGAAATAGGACCTGTCCTAAAATAGCAAAAAAATGTGGCTTGTTTTAACGTTCTTTTCATGTTCTTAATGCTCTTATTTTACAGGTTGACTTGAACCACATTTATGGAGAGACTCTGGAGAGGCAACTTAAATTGAGACTTCACAAGGATGGAAAACTAAAGTACCAGGTACATCTTATCTCAACTGCCACCTCTTTATTGGCTGACATGTTTCTTAAAATTACTGCTGTGTTTGCAGCAGAGCTCGCCTGAAGTTGGCATTAATGGCGTCAATGTGGTGTAACGTATAAGCATCTTAGCTAATAATGCTCTTGTTCTTTTTCCTGTGCCCCCTTCCTGGCAGTTGATTGATGGAGAAATGTATCCACCAACAGTAAAGGACACTCAAGCAGAGATGATCTACCCTCCTCACGTTCCTGAGCACCTGCAGTTTTCTGTTGGGCAGGAGGTGTTTGGCTTGGTCCCAGGCCTAATGATGTATGCAACGATATGGCTAAGAGAACACAACAGAGTCTGTGATGTCTTGAAACAGGAGCATCCAGAGTGGGATGATGAGCAGCTATTTCAGACTACAAGACTCATATTGATAGGTGTGTTATTTTTGCATGTAAAACTCTTAATATTCTCTTGAGGTTGACACTTCTGCCCATTTCCTATGGCAGCTGCAGTAAATTTAATAAGAAGAAAAATGTGAGGAAATAAATCGATCTTCATGACCCCTACTGAAACTGTATAATACTGAAGCTGTAAAATACAGCTTCCTCCTGCCCATGTTAAATACCAAAATGAAGAAAATGGAGTCAAGTGATAGACACTTCTTTTTATCTAAGGGAAGCAGAACTGAAAAGGCAGAAGCTAAGGTTAGTTTTCTCAGAGAAAAAGCCTGTGAGGTTAGGTGACCTCAGTTGCTCTCCAACTATGACAATTTCTTCTGGGACTGGGTGAAACCAGGTATGCTTTGAGATGGGCTATAGTTAAGTCAGAAAAGCAGCATAGAATAAAACTGTACATGTTTCTTATGTCTTACTTTCTGTTAAATGGTATTACATCTTGTTAATGTTGATACACACAGTTGAAAAAGTCTGTGCCCAAATAGCGAATGAAACAGTAAACCAAGAGAAAGCAATTACATTAAGCAGTTCAGAAGCTGAGAGACGGCCTTGAGATGCTGACTTCCTTTTCCTCCTACCTCTATCCCAGATAGTATTATACAATCAAATGCAATGTAGACAGTGATTAATGATTTTCTACAGGTTTTGTAGAAAACCAAAGGAAGTATAGTTTGGGAGAGGATAAGCAAAGTGGTGCAAGCTGTGGAGGTGGTAGAGGGGGAAAACTTATCTCTCAAAATATAAATATCCATTCCATAATATACTACAGAATGCTAATGAGTTTATTATTCTTGATTTCTATAGTTTTGAAGGTTTTCTGTGTGTTTGTTCCCTAGAGAAGCTTAGAAATATGCCCTCAGAGCAGGGTAACTGCCTGGTAATTCTTAGGGGAAGCAATATTGACTTTTTTTTTTTTTTTTTTTTTTTTGTATCCTTTTTATTCTCCAACAGGAGAAACGATCAAGATAGTTATTGAAGATTACGTGCAGCACTTGAGTGGCTACCACTTCAAACTGAAGTTTGACCCTGAGCTTCTGTTCAACCAGCGTTTTCAATACCAGAACCGAATTGCAGCTGAATTCAATACTCTGTACCACTGGCACCCACTGCTGCCTGACACTTTTCAGATACGTGACCAGGAGTACACTTTCCAGCAGTTCCTCTACAACAACTCCATAATGCTTGAACATGGCCTTTCCCATATGGTGAAATCTTTCTCCAAGCAAAGTGCTGGCAGGGTAGGTATTTTCCTCAAGTTACTAGTATGGAAACATCAACTTGGGGGTTGAGCAGCAGTTCAGTAAATCTATCCAGAACTAATAATATAAAGATACAACTTCCTCAACTTTTATGTGGAGTTCTTACTACTTTTTTGTTTCTGTCAAATAGGTTGCTGGTGGGAAAAATATTCCAGCTGCAGTACAAAAAGTAGCAAAGGCTTCAATTGACCAAAGCAGAGAAATGAGATACCAGTCCTTGAATGAGTACAGGAAACGCTTCATGTTGAAACCATTCAAATCATTTGAAGAACTTACAGGTAACAGTTTTTAATCTTTCCTTATAAACAAGTTCAATTTTTCCTTAAAGTGGGTAATAGAAACCTGTGATGCTATTTCTGAACTTCAGCAGGATGTTGTTGTTGAAACAGGACTTTCCACTTACTGTTCTTATTCATTAATAATTACAGGAGAAAAAGAAATGGCTGCTGAACTAGAAGAGCTTTACGGAGACATAGATGCTATGGAACTGTATCCAGGCCTTCTTGTAGAAAAGCCAAGACCAGGTGCCATCTTTGGTGAAACAATGGTAGAAATTGGCGCACCGTTCTCTCTGAAAGGACTGATGGGAAATACAATATGCTCCCCTGAGTACTGGAAGCCAAGCACCTTTGGTGGAAAAGTGGGGTTTGAAATAATCAATACTGCCTCCTTACAGAAGCTCATCTGCAACAATGTGAAAGGCTGTCCTTTCACTGCTTTCCATGTCTTAAATCCTGAACCCACAGAGGCAACTATTAATGTTAGTACCTCAAACACAGCAATGGAAGATATCAACCCCACACTACTACTGAAAGAGCGATCTGCTGAGTTGTAAATTAGCCATCTAATTTATTTATTTATCTAAGTTATTCTATTTATAGCTCTAGTATTTAGAAAACAAAAAGCAACCTTTTGCATCTTCACTTTGAGGGTTGCCCTAGATTCCTTACTCAGGTAAGGCTTCATTTTAGAAAAAGGGATTTTCTGTGTTTCAGCTCTGTAGTAGCAAATCCCTTGTTAAAAGCCTTCTGTAGCAGAACTACGTATTCCAAAATGGACCAAGTTCCAGTTTCTTGTTTGTTTGTTTGTGGTTTTTTTTTTTTTTTTTTTTTTTTTTTTTTTTTTTTTTTTTTTTTTTATACTTGTTTTAATACTTGACTAAGGGTGTTAGGATTGTCTTCTCACTTTGATAGGTCACGTAACACTACAAAAAGCAAGTTATTGCCTCAGCAATTTTTTGAACTTGAAAACAGACTTTCAGACTAAAAATGAGAGCATGATTTAATGAAACTGCTAAAAAAGATTCTGAATTCCGTATAAGCACTCCAAGATTAACAAATATGTTTGAGACTTGCTTATTTAAAGTCAAAATGCATTGCGTTTGTCAATGATACTACCTCTCCCTCATGCAAATAAGGCACTTTGTATAGTAATTTACATGATTGTTTTTGTTTTTTTTTTTTTGTAAGTCTGTCCTTTTGTGTGGCATTATACTTTTTCATCATTTTTAATTTAATTATTAATTTAATTATTTAAGAATAAGAGAACTTGTCTGAAATCCTACTTGTTTTTGAAGCATGTGTCGCAGAAGTATTATGTGAGATGATGTTAACAGAGGTACTGAGCTTAGACACGACTGTCAGGCAGGAAAACAAGGCTGCTTGTATATCAGTAGACATTTTACTTTGTGAGTTTGGGGAGATCTTAAACTTAATCCAAAGTCTATTAGTGTGGGGTTGTTTTTGTTTTTGTAGCTGTAATTGTCTGGTCAATATAAATTCTCTGGATGGTATAAATCTGTTATTTTAGATAAAACAATACAATCCTTTTGTCCTTAAGGACATGAGTATAATATAGGTTTGTGTAGCCAAATGGAAATTATTGGGGAATAATTTAGAAAATAGAGAGGGGGGGAAAAAATAAAAAATAAAAAAAAATTGGGATATTATATAAACATAAGTAGCACTGAGTGACCTAAACTTCAAGGCACCAAGGCTTTGTTAATCTAGGTCTACATAAATAGAGCTCTAACTCATGACTATAAATTGTTTATTTGGTTGGAGGGGGGATGTTAATGTTTTATTTATTGAAGTATAAACAGAGGCATTTTAAAGGAGTGGCTTGAGCTCTAAGAAGAAAAAAAATAATAGCTAGCTAAGCACAAAATGTCCCAGACACATTTGTCCTGGTCCAGCATTGAAGTATCTAGTCTCATTGGGGCACATAAGAACTTACGTGGGATCTTGTACCAGCACTTCAACCTTTGCATATAAGGGTATCTTTTTTTAATTTCTAGAGAAGAAATGTAGAAGATGATCTTCCCATAAAATCAGCTGGGGAACTGTAGATAAAAAGAATGTTACTTCAGACTGGAGTAGAGCAGCAACCTGGTATTCTATGCCCCCAGCCAAAATTCCTTGGCTACTTGTGGAAAAGGACTTGCTTTATATTTCCATCTGAATCTCTTGAATGCTTGTAGAGGCTTGTGTTGTAATGACTGTGGTACTAGTATTGTGTCACTAGTACTGTGACTTCTGTATTTCTGTTGATTTGTTTAAAGATGCTGATCATGTTCTACAGTACAAACTTGTAACTGGTAGCGCAAATAGCTGACTCCAGATCTCCTACAGCAATTGATACTAGTGACTGATTTGAGGTGGTCCATGGTATAAATGCTTTGGGAGATAGAAGGGTGTTTTTGCTCTTTGTATTTGAGGCACAGAAGGAAGAAAATTCAGTAACCTTGTAACAAAAAAAAAGGGGCCAGTACTGTGTTCAATTAGTGAAAGCTACTTAATTATTGATTAAGCATGTAGCTATCATTCAGACCACCTTTGGAATGTGTTAGAGCATCTACTAACATTCTCAAGGAAAACAGTATGTCTTGAAATCAAAGGAAGACAAGTTTGGGCAGATCTAGTTATTTTGAGGTAGGTAAAAAAGAATTCATTTTAAAAAAAAAAAAAAAAGTTCATTTCAGCCTTGTTCTTACAAGCTGCTTTGGAAAGGAATCCAGTTCACTCTACACTTTGTACTCTGAAGCCATGTTTATCTGTGACCCAACCTGCTGGGTTTGGCTGGGTTCAAGTTGATCATGATAAATGTGTATGTTTGAGATTATTTATTTAAAATTCTGTGAATTGTTTTTCACACTATTTTTATAGGACAAGAATGTTTTTTTTTTTTTTAATGCAATTGTTTATATAAATAAATTGAAAACATTATATTGATGGGCTCCTTTGTTTCATGCCAAGTGTTGTTGAAGAAAATTGTACATCATCCAGCTGCCATTACCTTTTCTGCAACCCGTAAAAAGAGACTTCACTACGAAACCTATAAAGCACTCACTGTGCTGCATGCCAGCAATGCTGTCTTTGTACTGAACTGTTTCGGAGGGAGGGGTCACTGCTGGAACCACTTGCCAGTGTGATGGTTTAACTCATAACCCCTTTGCTGTGACTATTCAGGCTCTCTGAAGCACAAACTGTTCATAGGTGTCTCCCTTCAGGCTTAATAGACTTTGAAAGGAAATGGTGTTTTGGATACAAGTAATAACTAGAAATAGCCTTTTGTGTTGTTTTCCTCTATGGTAGTTTGCCACTGCTGTCAGAGAGAAACCTCCTTCTGAAGCAAGAGGCTAAATCAGTTATGATGTTCTCTATGGGCACCACCAGTCTTCCCTTTGCATGAGGGTCCAACTTTGCTTGAGTTGGGGAAAAACAGCAAAGGTACCTTTGATTAGCTTTTGCAAAGAATTCTGCAAGTCAGAATGGTGGGTGATGGGGCTAGGACAAGAGAAGCAGTACAGTTAATAAAATCCAGAGACAGGATTGGTTGCAGTAGTTCTCTCTACTGCAGAGAACACCTTGAGTAAGCTAGTTTCTCCCCTTAATTTTCATCTCACTAAGGAAAGCTATGGAAGGTATCCCTGAGGAGATCCGGCACCTCGTACTGACTACCATTTCTTGCTCAGCAGCTGCTGAGCAAATGCTACTTTCAGCGCCTATAGCATCCTGCTGTGATTATCCCCGTTAGTCACCCATCTCTGTACTGGCAGTGTTCCCTCATAGTCCCGTCTTAGTGATTGAATCTCCTTTACCTACTCACCTTCCTGCCAGCCATTCAAAATCTCTTTGGTCCAAGGCTCAACCCAGTGACTCACAAGTCCATGCACCCATGTGACTGTCCTCCTGCCTCTGCTCTGTAGCTTTCCATTTCTGCTAACATGTGGAAAAGAGAATCTTTGGCAGTTCTTAATAAATTAAGACACAGTCCTGATCACTTTAGCCCTGAAAAGACATCTGGAGAGCCCTTTCAAAGGCATCTCTTCAGTCCCTCTCCTGGCCTTAGACGGTGGGTGTGAATGGAATTGCATGCAGATCTTGTGTTAGCAAGGTGGGTTAGTTTTTCTTTAGAGCCAATTAATGCTATGATTTAATTCATTTCTAGCACATTTCTTAAGGCCCTCTGATGTGAGGGGGGAAAAACATTTCCCTGCCTGCCTGTGGGAGATGTGGCTGCTGCCAGTTCCCTCGGGGAACCTGTAGGCCCTCTCACACATCTGCCCCAGTTCCATAAACACTAAAGTGCTTTGGTGCAACTGGCGAGAGTGAGCAGGGCCTGCGGCCATGTCTCACAGGCAGGCTCCTGACGGTGGCTGCTCTGACTCAGCAAGGGAGGGTTCTGAGCCTGTCTTGTGGCTTTGCTTGAGCACTCCAAGAAACAGAGCATGCAGTGCAAGGGAAGCATGGGAGAATACACTGGCATGCTGTGCTCTCACCTTGATTAAAAAAATGCAGAAATGCCACACATCTGCAGCCCAGCAGTTGCATTTAGACAGCCTCAAGCATTTCTGGGGGTTTCGCTCAATTGTTACGGTAGGGAAAAAAAAGATTATATGTCTCCCAAGTAAACACAGCAATTCCTGGGGCCTAGAGGGGGGGAAAAGTGCCCAGTATCCTTGCGAATGCTGACCCCAAAAGTGCAATAAGTATGCCATGAAAGGAATGGTGTGGCACAACCAAGTCCAGCACTTCAGAGGGCAGTGGTAGGCAGATTCTGCTGTGGCCCTGGGGCAGCAGGGTGCTTCGTGAGGGGGACAGCACAGAGGTCATCTGTACAAATGGTGTTTCAGGTGAGTGCTGCCCTAATTAGGGATGGGCCGGTCCGGAATGGATTTGGAGCATGATGGATGAGATAGCTCAATCGTGGAGGAGCTCCTCCTTCCCTCTGAGCAGGGGCATGTCCCGATGATACAAGAGGCAAGAATGTTCCCCAGGGGAAACCTGCCCTGTGAAAAATGCTTTCTCTTGGGACTGAGCTGAGGTAACTGTTTCGCCCAAAAAGATGCCAAAAAGAGGAGGAGAAGGAGGGGGTCAGCATTTGAGCCGCACCTGGGAGGCAGGTCCCTCAAGGAGCACAAGAACAGAATGCTTCTGTAAGCAGGTCACCATACACAATCGCCCTCATCGAGGGCTTTGGCTATACATCATTTTCTCACTTGCCCACTGCGTAACAGCACTTTATGGGCAGTGAGTAGGAGCCTCGTGGGCATCTGACCATGTTCATTAATTCTGATGCACTCGCTAGAGGCGGGCTTACTTTTATGCTGGAGCACCAATTCTCCCAAGACAACTGCCTTACACCCTGACACACATTACCTGCCTTACAAGAGACATTTGTAGCAGAAACAGTTCCAGCTTTGCTAGAAAGTACTCCTTCAGATTTCAGCACAATCCACAGAAAAATCAGCCAGGTAGTTTGACCAACCTGTAGGAAGAGTGTGAACAAGAGAGAAGACACAGACAAGGAGCCGCCTCTGACAGGCAGATGGAGATTTTTTCCTGAGCCTTGCACTGCTGCAGATACTGACACTGGGGAACAGTGCTGGAAAAGGCTTTGGCAAAGACATGCTGCTTCCTTCTGGGAAGCAGAAAGGAGAAGTCTTTGAAGATGTAAGGATATATGCTGGGCAGAAAGGCTGTAAAAAAGTAAATACGGAAGAGAAGATGAATAGAAAAATCCTAACTTTTTTTGCTATAAGACATGCAAAAACCCGAAACCACACAATGCAAAAACACAGAAGCATCACAAGAAACATTACAATGAGAAATCCTCTCCTTGGCAAGAGCTGAGTACTCATCTTACTTCAATTAGAAGCTTCAGTTTTAAAATAATATTTTACTTTGATATAATATGATTGGTGCAGCTATTTTAATTAATATTGACTACAAGAGACTTTCATAACCAAAAAATTCACTACTTTCCTCATGTGCTGTTCAAGATTGAAACATACATGTACACAGATGACAATAAAGAGAAACAGGAAGGGGTGAGACAAGGAATTCAAAACTTTTCCTTTAGGGGATTTTTTTTTTCTGTCTGAAAAACCAAAGACTGCACTGAAAATCTCAGCATTCCCTTACAGCCACAGTAAGGCTATTTACCTCCACATAGAAATCAAACAGTTGGAGGTGGCCTGGCCAAGGCAAGAGCTGAATACAACCAGTACAAGATAACGTTACAGTTTGTGAGATCTCACTGGTTTTCCACCAGGAAAGAGCTTCCCCAATGCTAATCATAGAATCATAAATTGGCTCAGGTTGGAAGGAACCCCAAGGATCATCAAATTCCAGCCCCTCTGCTACAGGCAGGGCCACCAACCTCCATAACTAATATTAGATCAGGCTGCCCAGGGCCCCATCCAACCTGGCCTTGAACACCTCCAAGGATGGAGCACCCACAACCTCTCCGGGCAGCTGTTCCAGCACTTCACCACTTCTATGTGAAGAACATCCCCCTGACATCCAATCTAAACCTTCCCCCTTGAGCTTAAAATCATTTCCCCTTAAGATAGTGTCTTATCACTATCTATCTGAATAAAAAGTTGATTCCCCTCCACCTGATTCCTCAGTGCTGGGCAAGCCATGCCATATGAAGAAAGTATTTGCCATTAAGCAAAAAGCAAAGCACAAAATTCCTAATTTTGGAGAGGAAAGCAAATCATGTTCAAAACAGCTACTTTCAAACTATTCTGGTCCATAGCAGGGTACATGCACAGAAACTCACTCTGACTTTCACACCTAGTCTTTTAGACTACTAAAATCTGTGGCCATTGTCTGTATCCTATTGAAGTATATCAGGCAAATGTTGGAATTTTATTTTTTTTTTAATTTAAGGACAACTTCACTGATTTAATCAGAATTTTACAAGGGTGTAAATTTTTCTGCTGTCTACCAAACTGGGGATGACTAAAAGTGTTCACTTCCAAAAAAATAGGAAATAGATCTCTCAAAAGTATCTTCTTTCCCTTGCTTCTTAGTTAGAAATACAACAACAACAACAAAAAAGCCTCTCAAAATGTGTATGAAAAGGAAAAGAGTCTTTCCAAAAGTTTTCCAAAATTGGAAATTTATTTATTACATCTACTAACCAATTCTTATCCTTATATCCTCCCCCCCCCTCCCCCCCCCGTTTATTAATAGCTCTTCCAAGAAAAACACTGAAAATATAGTGTCACATAACTAGGAGCTCCCTGTTTCCAAGTGCTTCAGTTCTTTACACAATACAATAGCAACATATTAATGCTTCTGTATGAGGACAGCAAGAAAATACTCAAAAAAATAAAGGAGGATCTTTTGGAAAAGGCACTCTATTTTTTACGTAACCAGGTGTAGCTTGTTTTACACAGTAGTGGATACAGGTGTGTGCAAGCATCCTTGTTGAAACCTGCCCTGCTGACAAGGAAATTTAACACCCATTCATTTTGTGTAAATTGACTGCATTTGTGGTAGGCATTTCTATGAGAGCACATGAAACTTTTTACTGTTTTCTGCCCCACAAAGGTAAGCAAGAGGAAGAGTTGGTTGAAAGCAATATCCATCTCACTGAGCATCACCTTGCCTTGTCTTGCTTTGCACTACAGCGCAAAAGTTCTACCCAAAGAAACTATTTTCATAAGTATTCATCAACAAGCCATATTGCATGTCTTGCTGCTTCAACACAGCACTCCAATGCATGACTGATAATCAGGATAATCAGGATATTTATCAGTTTATGCTGGCATGTCTTCAGATACAGATGAGAACATGACCCCAAGAAGTGACGAGACTTTGGTATAAAAACCCAGCCAATCATCAGTTGTTCTGTACGATTTTAAGTCCTG